TCAGTTCGAACCACCAACCTTTTGGTTAAGAGCCAAGCGCTTCACCATTGTGCCACTAGGGCTCCTTAAATTACAGCTAGATGGCAGCAATTTGCATGTCAACAGGTCTTTCATTAGAAAGATCAGTACGAGTTCCAAGGTCAGGCCAAAAATACTCATTTTCTCATCTCAAGGTAAAAAATTTAACCAGCATTGACAAAATAAATATAAGAGAAAAATATTATGCTAGTTCGTCTCAGTGGCTAATATGGCCATTCTAGATACAGATATGAAAGACATGAGGTAGCACTTAGTGCCTGCACATCTGCTCACTACATTTTCTCGAGCTAAATGAAAGTAGCGTCTCGGCTATGCAGTTAAAAGAAACGGAATGGATCTGCCCCATCTAAAATCTCTTCTGGAAAACTCTAACAACAAAATGACTTACTAAGCAAGAAAAAACTCAGAAGCAGACTCACAGAAAACAAAACTGTGCTAGAAAATTCTGGCTGAAGCCATTTAACAAAATTCAGCATACTTGTCCTGAACTCTATGACCTGGGGTTGTCCTTCAGTGCCATCTGCTGCTTGAGAATAAACAGTGGCCTTGCACTGTGTGCCAGGCTTTAATCCAACAAGCTGGTCTTCTGTGCCCCATGACCCCTGGTGACAGGATGAGGCTGCAGTTCAAGGTACACAGGGGCAGTGTGGTTGCTGGGTAGCTTCTCTGCTGGGCTTCTCTCAGTGTTGTTGGCTTCTGTGGGAAACACGAAAGGTAAAGACATTAACTGCAACAAACACATCCCCCATCTTCCTTCACTACCCCCCATCCTCCACCCCAGTGGCACATCAGACAGTCACTACTCCATAAATATCTGTTCCCTTCCTTCCCCAGGCAGAGGTGCATCCTCTTGAAAGGGCCCTGACTTTTGCCAGATACTTTGCTCCATACACTTACCCCAGGTAAAAAATTCAGTTATCATTCAGTCGATTCTAACTCATGGTGACCCCATGTGTGTCAGAGTAGAACTGTGCTCCATAGGGTTTTCAGTGGCTGACTTTTTTGGAAGCAGATCAGGAGGACTTTCTTCCAAGTCGTCTCTGGGTGGACTCAATCCACCAACCTTTCAGTTAGCAGCTGAGCGAGTTAACCATTTGCACCACCTGGGGACTCCTTACCCCCGGTAGCCGCACAGATACTTTGTGCTGCTCCTGCTCAGCCACCTTGGACCACTCTCCCTTCTTTTGAGACACCATCTTCTCCCATCCCAATGTTTAACTTGTTTTTCCAAGAACAGTGACATGATTCCAATATGCCTAATCAGAGCCTCACTCAAGGAATTCTTCCCCCTGGCCAGGCCTCAGCTGATTAGGGGAAGGGTGGGGTGTGAGAACAGGGGAACTGGGGTGGCCATTTCTCCTTGAGTTAGATGGAGGGAGCCTCTCTGAGAATGAAGTTGAGAAACAGAAGCAGGAAGAGATCAGAGCCACCTCGTCTCTTTCCTTAAGGCCTCACTGGCCATAGCAGGGAAATAAACACAAGCCAATAAATTGCTCTTTCAGTCTAAGCAATGTAAAGTCTGGTTTCTGTCACTTGCCATCAGGAATCCTAACGGCCACATTGTAGTTCTGCTTCTTAGGTGTAAAATGGGATTAAGACTTGTCCTTCCCAACTCACAGGGCTGACTCACTGAAACTGCTGTGAAATCTGCACATTACTATTCTAACATCAGTGCGGAAGCCATCTGCTGGATATGCCTGCTGAGTAGCCCTTTCTCAGTGATGTGGCAAGTTACTATAGTAGCCCTACTTGGGTTAACACATCTATCATTTGTTCAACTGAAGGTTAAAATCCCAAAGGGCCAGTCTGGACTCCAGACTCAAAAACGTTTCAAGCCCCACCGCTATTCTGAGCCCCAAGGTGCTCACTTTTCCTTCCTTCCTCAGACAAGGATGGGAACAAATTGAAACGTGGAGGGAAGGCCAGCTAGAAATTCGGTGACACTATACAAATATAAAAACACTATTTTAAAAAATACTAAGTCACTGAGAGTCAACTCCAGCAAGGGGGATGGGAAAGGGGGGACCACACTACCATCAAGAATGAACAGCCAAGAGTGGAGTGCATCCTTTGGGCCTAGGGTCCTTGCACTGACAACCAACTAGACCCAGGAGACAGAAAGTTGTAACACCAGAAACATCGCAAGACAGTGAGAAGCAGCAACAGAGAAATGGTGGTGGCAGAACCAGGAGACCAGTGTGAAACAGTACAGTGGGCTTCCCGGCCCATACAGCAAGGCAGTTACAGGGGGGTGCCTCTGGGCCCTTGGCAGAGCTAGGCTCACCGACTCACAGAGTGAGAGAGCTGAGCACCTTCGGGCTGAGGCTCACTGGCGGAGTAGGGTGCCTCTGGGCACTTACCAGTAGGGCTAAAGAGCTTTGTAACACTTAACGCGAGCAGGGCAGAGGCCTGGCCGGCCCAACAGGCCCAAGAGGCCTGAGGAGCCAAAGGGCCGAAGGCCAGGGAGAGGCCTGCCTGCAGGCACAGCCGAGAAGCTGTCCTGATGGAAGAACTATATCCTGAGCGTTCCTGATCCTGAATTACAACCTGTTACTTCCTTAATAAACCCCATAGCCATGAGCATGGTCTGAGTTTTGTGTGTCCATTGCAATGAATTACCAAACCCTAGCACAGGATTAGAGAGTGCCGTGGGAGGGACGGCTGGTGTAGGAACCGATAAAAGAGTTGGAGAGAGGAGGCATGTCTGACCTTTCCTTCACAGCAATCAGCCTTGGGCTGTTGATGCTGATAATGATTCCCGCTTCTTCCCCTGATGAAGTTAGACGAGGTCAGATGCTGCCGCCACACCATTTTTACAGTTGGCACCATATTTTTTTACAGAAGCACACTTTTGTTACTTACCTACGCCATCTTCTGGGTCTTTCTGTGTCTCATTTGATACTACTGGAGGCGGGGGGAACTGGTATCGATTCCCTGGCTCCAGGTCTGAAATATTGAACACTGAGTCTTGAGTCGAATCCTTTTGGCTTCCAATACTTTCAAGGAGCATCCGGCATTTGGCAGTGCCATTATCACTACACCAGGTAAGAGTAACCTTCGTTGTCCCCATGAAGGTGACATGAAGACCAGAGACTGGATTAGGCTCTATTATAAAAACAGACATTGGGCATTAATGACACAAGATGTTTGTAGTCACCTTTTGTTAAGAACGACTGGAGACAGTGGTGTTTCACTGTACTCATTAAAATACGTCCTTTACATCAGAGTCCACTGTATTTCCATCATTTCACATGGGGAAAATATATCATTATGCAGAAAAGAAGAGAAACAATAAATACTGTGAAAAAAAATTCTAAGTTTTGCTTTATGAAAAGAGAGTTCTCTTGCCCATGACACTAAAGGTTATCTTATTAAATGTTAGAAACTTATATGCTGTAGAATCGTATGTATCTCATTTTTAAAGCTTATAGTTAGGCTTTAAACTGTAACTAATCCTTAGAAGCAGTTTGTCTAGTTCTGGAAACCATGGTGGGTCAGTGTTCGAATCTACCAGGAGCTCCTTGGAAACTCCGCGGGGCAGTTCTCTGTACTGTAGGGTCGCTATGAGTCGGAATTGACTTGGTGGCAACGGGTTTGGTTTTTCATTTGGTGTCTGGTTTCACATAATTGTACTTAGGTGATCAGGCTCACTAAAACACGTGAAAACTTGTTCTTTCAGAAAACACTCGAAGGTTAAATGAATATGTCGTGTTTCCAAGACTCCACAGGTCTTACAACCATGGCTCACTGCTCTTATGATTGTCTTAGTAAGGTTCCTATTTAAGCTTTGATCATGTTTGAGTAATCCTGCTCTCTTATAAGATTTATGCACTCTGACATAATCAACAACCAATCAAAATTTTTGGTTCAAAGTTCCTGATATGTATAAGTACCCTGAAAATCTGAATTAACTGGAGCACTGATTTACTCAGTAATGACATGCTGCCCAACTTTAAAGTTGTCTATTAAACCTGCACAGAAATCTTTTAATGGTGTTCTGAGTTACTTATATTCAGCAATCTTAAAGCCAAAAATGTTTCACTATCTATATTTTTTTCCAACACTAACCCCCACAGTGGTTTGAAATACTTTTAAATTGCTTCTTTAAACAGTAAAGTTTAATCATATTTCTTTTAGATATGGGAACAAAGCATCAAGTAAGGTGATTGTTTGCTAAGTCTAATGATCTCAATTCAAGATAAATGCAACCTGCGATCTGCAGATGACACAATCTTGCTGAAAGTGAAGAGGGCTTGAAGCACTTACTGATGAAGATCAAAGACTACAGCCCTCAGTATGGATTACACCTCAACATAAAGAAAACAAAAACCCTCACAACTGGACCAAAAAGCAACATCACGATAAACAGAGAAATGACTGAAGTTGTCAAGGATTTCATTTTACTTGGATCCACAATCAACACCCATGGAAGCAGCAGTTAAGAAGTCAAACGAAGTATTGCACTGGGTAAATTCTGCTGCAAAGGATATCTTTCAAGTGTTAAAAAGCAAAGATGTCACTTTTGAGGACTAAGGTGCACCTGACCCAAGCCAT